ATAGAAGATCTACATATATGAGCGTATCTAAATTAATTGCACGTAATTTCCAGCCAGCTCAGTAGTCCAATATAATATTATTGTTGTGGATCGGAAGACTCATTTCGATTCAAAGGTGCCAGAGGATAGGCGAGAGAAAGGCCTTTCGAATTTCCCTTTCCCAGTAAAATTCTTGTGGTCAGATGGATGGCATTCGAGTTGCGATGAGCACACTGTAAAGAAGTATCGCGAGTAAGTAGAAGAAGAAACTCGTTCAATTTGGAGCGCGATCTAGAATCCTTGTTAGATCAAATGTCGGAAGAAAAAAAAAGAAAAAAGGATAACTTGTGATCATCTTCTGTTTGTGCACGAGATCCATGCTTCTTATTCTTGACGCAATAACCATACAAGAAGTGGAAGAGTTTCGCTTGTTCTCATATAACAGTGTCGAAGAAGAAACCAGAAGAGCAGGTTCCGTTTTATGTGGAATTGCTAATACGCGGAAGTCGTGGAACAACACTTACTAGAATGACGTTATGTTTTAATTAAACATTAGCAAAGAGGTAAATTTTTATATATTTTTTTTTACTAATTAATAATTCAATTGTTATAATATAACCTCGAATTCTTGTAAGCGTTGAATGCAAATTTTCTCTAATCTTCCCTCTTTACACAACAATAGATTATTCTGATTAATTTCCAAGCGCATGTTTCATATTTGATTATTTGCATTCAGAAAATTGTAAATATGTAGTAATAATGTTTAGGAGATTAGTAATAATAATTATTTATTAAATAATACGGAAAAATATATTTTTTTTAAAATTTAATATTGGTATTAGATTGGCATAAATACATGGAGAATATTTGAAAATTTGATATTATACCCACAAATATTGAGTAATACAGTAAAACTCTAGTATTCTTGAATTCTAACTTAAATGTTTTTTTTGGATACAATATGAATTCTGATTTTATCATTGATAAAAAAATGTACTAGTTTTTGTGGGTCTCTGAAAACCTGTGAGTTAATGTAAATTAAATGTTTATAAGACGCCCAAGATTTATAATTAAAACAACAGACGTTACTAAAAAGTTCCATTTAAATTTATCATTATTTACTAATTTATTTATTTAATTTTTTTATTAGACAAAAGGTTATGCTTTTACTAATAATTTATAATGATTAATAAAAACATGTTATTAAAAAAACTAATTCGTAACTAATTTGTAACTTGATTATTACTTAAATATTTTGACAAATATATTAGATATATTGGAGTGAAATACTAGAATTGATAATATTTGTTATTTATTTTATAAAGTTTAAATATTACTTGCCAAATCAATTTTTAATAAACATCTATTACTTACTTGGCGAGTAGCAAGTAGTACGTTAGCACAATGCGAGCGTATTTTTCGTTATGATATTTCAGTGAGAGTCTTATCTACAGTTGTATACTTTATAAAGTAAGACAGATTTGATTTTTTAATACATAAATGTCTTTTTTTCTGGATTTTACAAGGATTCTTATTTAAATTCAAATAGAGCAAGCATTATTGGTCATTTAGTTTAATTTTTGTCATTTAGTTAATTTAACTTTATAATAAACTTTTCCGGTGTATATTTAATTATTATGATTTTGGACATTAATAATTACTTAAATTTCTTCATAGATAATAAAATTTTAATTGACCAAAACAAAGAATTTTACATGATTTTTTATAAATGTAATTTATTGTTTTACAGTTAAGTCACTTTTTATGTTATAAAGTCCTCAATTAATCCGGCAAATTCAACAGATTGATTTTTCACAATATACTCAGAACGCCAACTTTTAGTTTTGCTTAGACATTCAAATTTCGTGTTTTATTTTGACTTTTTTTCTTCTCTCTCTATTTACTTATAAGAAAGTAACATTGTGTATGGGACATTCGAAAGTAATCTGAAATTACTTTTGTCAACATTTGCGATTTTTTTGTGTACTTAAGTATAATACGTTTCTCGGTGTCTCGACCTCTTATAGAAACATAATTATTTAGCATTTAACTCTCACTTGAATCATCTCGAGAAGTCGCAACGGTATTTTGGCCCACTTTTCAAGTCGCAAAAATTCGTTGGAAATTCTTAATATTTTAACATACATAACACATCGCATAGTCCGGATTGATTGTTTGAAAATTGCAAAACAAACAACATTTAAATTGACCAAAAATTGTTTTTTTTTTAATACAGATATTGGCTGTAAAAAAAAACTGTAAATGTTTGGTAATTACACTTTGGATTAATAATTATAATTTTTAGTAGAAAAGTAAACTGTGTTATTGAAGATACGCTCTTTAACCACACTGTTCTTAATGCATTTGTAAAGCTGAGCAAATTATGATGATAATAATTCTTATTAAATGAAACCATTAACTAAATCAGTCAGCGAAAGAGAACGAAGAATGTTTGCTCGGTGCAATAATTGCAGGACGGAGAAACAACATAGACTGAATTTAAAAAAATCAGTACGAAAATTACGGAAATAAGTAGTAAGGATTTTATTATGCTTTCTGTTCCGTCAATGTGCATTGAATCAATTAACGCTTGAAAAATAGAGCTCAGTTCTCAATTTCCTCGAATTTGGGTTAAAAGATAAATAAAAGAAATGTACGTAACTTACACTCACTCAATGAATTTGCGCACGTAAATCCCATACAAGTTTCGAGAGAAAGTTTGAGATATCACATCAAAAAAAAAAAACAACAAATTATACAGTTTACGCCTCCACCCAATTTAGTGTTTGGTCAGAGTCGTTTGTGAGTGGATCAGCTTACATGTTGTAATTGGTTAATTTGGGTTTTTGTTTATGTTCTGTTTGTTGTGTAAGTAATTTGTTATTGTATTCTCGTTCACATTTTTAATAGTTTTGCGTCAATCAATATATTTTAAGTATGTCTGTTAAGACTTTTGCATTTATTTCAAATACAATCAAAGAAATAAGTGAAATGATAAAATGATGTAAGTAGCATCATGTGCGGAAGTTATGTATTGGAAAAGGGTACAAAGAGTTAGAAGAAAAAGTTGAATATTATTAGTGTTTTAGTATAATATATATTATTTAACAAATTTAATTTTATAATAGTTAATTTAAGTTGAAATATAGCCATATTTTGATATAATTTGAAACACTTTTTGATCAAAATATTCATTTAGTGCTATAAAAGCTATTTCATCAGATATAGAAACTAGTGTTAGTAATAATCCACATTACAGAGGAAAAAAAAACAGATCAATTTACATGTTATAATAACTTAACTTCATTACGTGTTTTGTTTCTTGTATAGTTTGTTATTGTATTCTTGTACAAAGTCTTCAATTGATTTGTCTTAATGAGCAGAAAATCTGCAAAAGGGGTAGAAAAAGGTCGAAAAAAAAATAATAAAAAAAGTGTTTCTTAATTTTTTTTTTGGCAATTTTCAAATAAAATTTAAAAAATATATCATATTACTTTGCTGATGGAGATTTACAAGGTCGCATTTTTAACTGTTAAAACGAAACTGCTGTACATTATTTTGATAGCAGGAATTTAAAACAAACATTCTTTTCCTCAACACGATGGCTTTATCTGAACTTGACAAGTAGTATTGAGAAATAAAATGTAATGACTGCATAGTTAATGTGTAAAAGATATGGCGGATATATCCGCCTCTCGTCCGTGTGTTTAATGAAATATCATATACATACAAAAATATAGGATATAACTAAAAAATCACTATAATAAAGCAAATCTTAACAAAAATTAATTATTAATTTAAACATAATATCAATTGGACTATTAAAACTATAATAATTTTGTATTTATTAATTTGAATAAACTTGTGTTGTTTGGATCACACGAATTACAAATGAAATATTGATATAGAATACATTAAATAAAGGAAGATATGTCTAAAATACTGGAATTTCTAAATTTTTTATTGACTTTTGCAATTTACATAAATTAATTGATTAATTATTTTGTGTGCATGCTTAGATCTTAATATTGGGCTGTCCAATAAGTTTGTGACGATTTCCATTTATTTTTTGCAAAATTCCATTAACGTCCACTGAAAAACCACCTGGAATTAAAAATTCTAGTTTCTTTAAGCAAAAATCTCCTCAATAAAATAGCTCATTATACACCAGAAATACCTCTTGTTTTGCTGCAAATTGACAATGATGCCAAATAAAATGATTTGCGTATAATGAGAAAAAAAAAGGACAGTTAAAAATTTCCATTTTTTTTTAACTTTAGGAAAAATCATATGAGCTTTTAAGTGAATATTGTTTCTAATACTTTTATATTTTTTTAATTTTATTTTATTACTGAAATTTTACCTCGGCAGTCCGGTTTATAAGGACTGATGAAAATTGCAAAATAAACTAAATTTTACATGAGCAAAATAACAAAATAGTCATAGTTACGATTTATTTATATAAGGTTTTAAGTACACGATTAGTCCGGTTTCAAACAGTTTGGGACTTTAATGTCTGAGTTCCCGGACTATACGAGATATTGATGTAATAGTAATGATTGGTTTCTATAAGTTACATTAATGATAATATTAGAATTTCATTTTATATAAATTGATAACTCATAATGCTTAAAGATAAAACATATACTAAGTGAAGTAAATAGAAAGCTATAATTTGAAGTTTCACACACGAAAATTGTTAAAGATCACAAAGAATAATAATATAAATGCTGATCTAATATAGAATAAACGGATTAATATTAATATGCAGTCCTTTCACTATACTAATTGCATGAATACATAAGCTCGATGATTGCTTTTCTTTTTAAGAGAAATTTGCACTTTCCTTCATGTTGTATTAACTTTATTAACGAGCATACATAAATGAATATAAATTAAATTAAAATTAATTTATGTAGATTATAAATGTTGCTTTCAAACTATAAAATAAACATTTATTTGTATTTAATATGTTTATTAATTGTTGGTTTATTTTTCAGGACTTTTATTTAAAAGAAAAAATGAAGATCCAAATAGTTCTCTTTATTGTCTTCATAGTCAGTACCCGAGCTCAAAGCAACAATACATCTTCAACGGATTTAATGAATTCTGAAGTAAAAGATGCGAAGTTCGAGATATCTGGAAAGAAAATATTGAATATATTTAATTGGTTTTTAAGTTCCTTTAAGAGTGAAGATAGTTTTATGGGTAACGATTGATTTATATTATTTTTTTTTGTTTTATTTTTAAGTTTTAATTTGCTTTTAGGTAGATGTATCGGAATGGCCAGACGTTTGAAGTTCGTGATGCCTTTTCTGCTCTTCAAACTAGGCGTAATAGTAACCATTCTCGGATTCCTGACTCTGTTTTCCATGAAAGGCTTGGGTATCGGACTCTTGCTGCTGATGATCAACGCGGGTGGATTTTTCGGGAAATTGGCTTCGCTGAAATCGGGTCACGATCATGGCCAAAAGGAGTATTACATACCGCAAGCGCCAGCTCCAGCGGTGCATCTGCATGTGCATAAGGATGGTATCAGTCATGGACATGGATATTCCCATGGACATTACGAGGAAGCGCCTACAGCGTGGTCGGATCGCGTTAGTCAGGGCTTGAGCGAGTCCAAAACTCTTGGTGAAAAGGCGGAATTGATTGATTTGTATAAAAGGTTGGGGTTCAATGTGAACAGTGCTATAAACAGGGAGAGTACACATAATGATATCAAGAAATACCTGAGTAATTATCAAAGATAATTAACGTGCATTGCTAGTCAGGAATATTGATAATTTAAGTATTTATTTGTTAGTTTTAAGTTAGGCAATACTATTTATTAAACATTGTTGTATTATATATATTTTAAAAATGTTGTTATTTGTGCAAAACCAAAAATATTATTAAAACCAGTAAAGTTTATTTAATTGATACTTATTTTAGACCTACAAATCAATTTTCTTTTCATATTAACACTGATTATTACGAAGATATTTGTAATTAATTTACAATCAGTTTCAATTTTAATTACCAACAATACTATTAAAAAGTAATGTTTATTACTTACTTTGTACCTACTACAAATCAATAATTAGCAGAAACTTTATTATGGAGATTTGTGTACGGTTATTACAGGTATTTGAAATTATGTTATTATTCCAATTAGTTAAAAGATACAAATAATTAACACAATGAAATTTCTCTGAAATGATGAAGATTTTGTATCACAAAAGATTAGACAAAAAAAATATTTGGCACGTATAGTTGATTACTCATAATTAATGAGTTTTTAATGTAAACACTGCATTTCTTGAATATTTATGTAAGATTATTACAAGGATATATAAAAACATGTTATTATTGTAATTTGCTAGCATCTATTACGATTAATACAGATATTTGAAAATATCTTAATATTTCAATTAGTTAAAAGATACAAATAATTAACACAATAAAATTTCTGTGAAATGATGAAGATTTTGTATCACAAAAGATTGGACAAAAAAAAATAACTCGTATAGTTAATTACTCATAATTAACACATAATTATTGAGTTTTTTTTTCATGTAAACACTGCATTTATGTATGATTATTACAAGGATATATGAAAACATATTATTGTAATTTGAAAACAGATATTAATCCTTTTTTTGATGTTAATTTTCTTAAAGATTATGAAAAAAAAAAATGTAATTTAAACATACTTTAAACTGATGAAAGTTCATTACTGACAATTGTTAATTAACCCATAAATAATTAGTTGAAAATTGCATTATATAGAGATTTGTGTATGATTATTATGGGGATATCTGAAAACATGCAATTATTCTCATTAGGTAAAGAAGATAAGTAATTATTATCTAAATGAAATTTCTCTTAAATTAAAACAGCAAAAAAGGATAAATGAATTTGCTTTCCTAGTATAATTCTATTTTAATTAATAATTAGTATGTTATTACAACTAGAAAGTAAAGTTGCGTGGATAATAGCAATTTGGAAAAATTGATGAGAATTTGTTTTGATTTCGAGAAACAAAATATTCAGAAAATATTGAGAATTCCCTGGAATTTATAAAAGTTGTAATGCTATTATTATAATATTTTGGTCGGTTAATCTTAGAAAATGTTAGAAAAATATTTTTTTCAAAAATTTAAACTTAATTCATATTGTCGCGGACTTATGGGAACAGGTTCAAAAACACTGCTTTAGTGTATACATTTAATTTACATATTCAGTTTTGAATTGTAATGTTTTATAATAGTAAAGTTTTAAACCTGTCTTGTGACTGTTAACTTGATGATTATTATTATTGTATAATACATTTTAAATAATTATATGTCAAAGAAGTTGCCTATACTAGATTGTCAATAAAACAGTTAGTGGTCTATAAATTCTATCTATTATAGTTCTCGAGTAAATCAATGAAATGTGAAAACACTGCTTTTTCGAAACTTCTATTTCAATTTTTCAAATTTGAACGCGTATTACAGCAATATGGACACGAGCACAGGAATGTATCTATACTTTCTGCATTCCCCAAACATTCAGCTTTTATATGCATTAATTGGATCCATTTTATCTATTATAGTTTTCGAGTAAATCAATGAAAACACTGCTATTTCGAACGTAAATTTTCATTTTTTCAATTTGAACGCGTATTACAGCAATATGATAAGAGCACAGAAATGTATCTATACTTGCTGGATTCCCCAAACATTCAGCTTTCATATGCATATGGATTCATTCTATCTATTATAGTTTTCGTGTAAATCAATGAAATGTGGAAACACTGCTTTTTTGAACGTTCTAATTTCTATTTTTCAACTTTGAACGCGTGTTACAGCAATATGAATAAGAGCATAGAAATTAATATTAAAAAATATGTTTATAAATAAAAATATCTTATCTATTTAACCATTATGACGATATTAAAGCATTGAATGTGTGCTTATTACAATTATTCATATTTGTGTACGTTAATATGTTAAAATCAGCAAAATATATTTGTTTAAAGATATTTTTAAAACATTTTTTTTTAGAATTCTCAAGAAAAAGTAAGGTATGTCAAAGAATTTATGATTTATATACTAATTAAACAGTCATCATGCAATTGGTATTCATCGAAAACAACAAGAAATAAAAGAAGAAGTGTGATGAAGAATGCGAGAAAAAAAAAATGAACATGCCATATGTTGACACTGACCGGTATTGGTAGAAAATAGCAAACAATCAATTATGAATCGAGTGAAGAGAAATAGAGAAAAGCGGAGGAAGTTAAAAAAAAGCAGTCGTTTAGTCAATATTAAAAGTAAATTTGTTTAGGAGTCTAGAATCGAGAGGAATTGGGTTTCGGTGTCAATGCTTCACCCACAAATCAGTTGGAAATGCGATAGTAGGTTTTTTTTTGGTGACAATCTGATAACACGTTCTGCAAATCGAATAACTTGCATTCGGTAAGCGCTTTTACTACGCATCTAATTGAAAACAATGAACTTTACATAAATATTACGAAGAGAAATTAGGTATTTATGTCTGTTTCATTTGCATAAGTATATTTTTTTTACTGCTGATTTACGTTACAAAAATAGAAACAGTTATTTTCTTATACATATTTGTTTATTATTAAGATAATTACTATCCAATTGAATGACGTATGGAAACATCTTCAAATCAAGTGTATGGTTTAGATATATAGATGATGTTCTTTCTATCAACTTCAATATTTTCCATAAATTACAAAAAATATTGTTTTTTTTTTAATACCATCATCATATATAAAATTAAAAAAGTTTATTTGATATTACAATGCTTTAGTACAAATTATATTGATAAATTTCATTTTGATATTTTTGGTATGGAAATGTAAGAAGAGATAAAATTGTTTAATGAGAAGAGAATAAAACTGTAATAAAATAATTTTGGATTGAAAATTTAATCAAAGCATATAAAATTTTAACTATAATTTTACGTATTTTGCTAACTATAATAATAACTGAAATAAAATTTTCTAAATTTTAAATATTTAATATGTAAAAATACAGATAATTTTTTGTATTTGTTTTATACATATTTCTGTAAAACGTAAAGTCTTTGAACAATTTTAATATAAGATTTCTAGAAGATTTTCATGAGATTTAAGAATTTTTTTATGAGAATTCTAAGACACAATTAGTTAAAACTTGTTGTAAGTTGAGAAGAGATGAATTTATTTATATAGGATAAAAAAGATACAAATAGGAATAATTGAGTGATTGTTACATGAATTACTACAAATTTGACTGAAAACCGCTAATATTACGAACCATAAGTAAGACTGGCTTAGTTATTAAAAGAACTTTATAATTGGCACAAAATTTGAATGTAAATGAAATATAGATTTTGCTCGAAAATAAAGTAGAAAAACAAATACATCAATAACTTACATAGTGCGGTTTCGATAAATTGATCGATTTTTTTCTCTTAACTTGATTATAGTTTTTCAAGAATTTCTCGACAACCCCTAAAGATAATTACATCATAGACCACTCGTAGGAAAGCTGAATGTGTCATCTTTCCAACGAGCCTACTGGCATCTTCGTGTTTTTTTTTTACAGTTTTTCGAGAATTTTTCTTGACTTGATTATACAAGTCTCTTTTTGTACAGAGATTTATTTGAAAATTATATTAAGAGATTTTTGAACGAAATATTGAAGGAACTAAATTTTTCAATGTACACTAACTAAGCTTAACTATTTATTTTTGTTGTTACGAGTTTTGCATGAATAGTGTCGCACAGAAAAAAATTACATTAATATATGAAATATTCAATTACAACTAAATACATGGAGCATGAAATTAATTTCGGTTTATATTATTAGTTTGAAACAAAATTATAAAAATAATTATAGAGTCTTACGGTACTTTTTTTTTCCGAATCCTCCCAAATTTATGATAATTATGACACGATTTTCAGAATGTTTATGAGAACATTTCGAAAGACAAACGCACGAACGGTCATCGCTTTCGAGAGTGTCAGAAGAAAAAAAAAATGTAATATAAATAGCGTAAGAAAACCGGATTAACGACTTGAAATCTATCATTTTAATATGGAATTAGGTAATTAAGTTAAATCGAATTGTTTTGTTTACATTTTACCACTTTAAGGAAACACCATCCTTTTAAATTCTTGGATAAGAGTTATTTGAACCGAGTTACGCATATTAATTTAAGTTCATCTCAAGCATAAATTTTAAGCATAAAAAAAACAACTTTCATATTTTGATCGCTAATTTTATATATATATATATTCAAATTTTGCTCACTACACATAAACTTACAATAAAGATAATAATCTTTCTTTTCTAATTATTTTTGCATGTTATTGTAATGTGCAAATTAAGTGGAAAGTCTTTTCGATTCATTGATTTGTCACTGGTGATGTTAATGGCGAGTGTAAATAGTCATAGATAGAAAACTACATTTTCACGTATTTGTTGCTGATGGACAATCAAACTCTTTGACTCATCCGAAGAAAATGCTTCTTGGGAGTTATGTTGACCCACACATAACATTTCCGGTTAACCTACTGACCCAGTGGAATGCTGAACCGAAAATCTTCATTCCATTGACTTTCTCCATCGGATGAAAGTGATCTGTCAAAAAAAAACTAACTGATATATAAAGTATCTCTAGAATTGATGTAATAGTCACTCATCTACGTATTACACTTATATTATGAAATCAGTATCCAATATTAAGGTACTAAT